CTTATTCTCAGTCTTTCCCTTTCCATGTCTTGTTTTCTTCCTTTCTTTTCTTTATTTTCATTGCAAGCTGTCCATCTGCCACAACTCTCTACTGAAACCTTTCCAGTGGACTGGCTTTATATATTACCATACATCAAAACCCAAGACCAGGCTCAAAAACCCAGAGGTTGGTCTTAAAGAGGGAGCACCACGGACAAAATAATTCACATGTGAAAACACTTTGGTCTTCTTCTAACCCAAATTAGAGACATCATTGTATTATTAATTTGGTGGGTTTATACCCATTTTACAGAAGGGTAAAGTGATGCAGAGAAAGAATATGAAGACTCAACTGCTATTTCAAAATGGATTTAAACATGTGTTTGCTTAGTTCATTAATGCAGGTTCAAACTCCCTGTCAGGCCACCATCTGCCAGAAAAATGTAATGTTCTCATCTGGATGCAGACAGTTCCTCAGTAGCCAAACAGCCATCAATAGGTGCCTGTTCCATTCACCATTACAGGTATTGCACCATATTGTTAAAAAAGTATTTTTTCTGTGTTCACCAGGATAGTTCACTCAGTGCTTGTAGTAGGTTCAAAACTGAAAACAAAGGTCCAAAAGTTATAAAAAGAGACTAGCAATTCACAGCACAAACCGTTTTAATTCTGCTCCCCTTACAGTCACTTCTCAGGAAAAAAATAATTAAATAACAATCTTCAATCTGTTTGTTGTTTCAGTTCATTTTAGGGTGACATAAACAGCTTTCAGTTCTTACATTCTGCACAAGCCTCCAGAAATATTCAGTGTTTACTAGAGTTCGGTGGTGTTAAATCAAGTATGACTATCACCCTTTAAGGCCTAAATGATAGAGCGATATCCATACCAATAACACATTTTGACAGTGTTGACACCTGCCTACATAGAAGCAGTTTACTGACTCTTATAGACCTGTAGAAAAAGGCACTAAAACTTATTAGCAATCCTAGTAATAACCTTTTATTTTCAAAAGTTGGTGTTTCCCTTCATGCCTCTTGAAGAACTCTGTGGCATATTCTACAGTGTATCTCGTAAAAGACAAGTAGCTGGATGAAGAATTTCATTAAACTACTCTCTTCCATCATTTTCACTGTGTAACTGAAAATGGATAGGAAATTATACTAGCTAACTGAAACTAGAACAATCTTGAAATAAACTCAGCAACTGGTGAGAGCCAAGAAAAGCTTAATAGTTCTTTTTGAGCACCTGAAAACTTTCACAAAATTCAAACATAACCAAAACTTTGTGAAAGATGATCCTTTTTTGTCCCCTAATGGATCTAAAGAGCAGACTCATTGAATGATGTAGCACCTGCTGTTGTCAATCTTTTTGTTCTTGTGTCAGTTGAAGAAAAAAAAAAAAGAAAAAAAAGAAAAAAGAAAAGAACATTGCACTGCGGAGTAGAAAAATATGGTGTGCCCCAGGTGAAAAACAAACTATTTCCATTTACTTGATTAGCCCTTGCTTCTTCGTTTAGTACTCAGCTTGACAAGCAAGAACCCACCACCACCCTCCAATAAAAGCCAAATGAGATTTGAGGAGATGTGAGAGCTGACCAAATCTTAGCACTTCACCTCACACAGGAGGGTTTCAGGTTTTCATGCTCCCTTCCAAACAGGTCTTTAATGGTGTGTTTTCACGGGAAGCAACAAGCTGCAGAGTTTGCCCGATGAGGGGAGCCCGGAGCAGAGGAGATGGACGGGAGCTGAATCTTCAGCACCACAGTCCCAGGGCGCTGACGAAGTTGTCCCTTCAGCACCACGGACTGCGGACATTGCTGGAGTTGTCCCTTCAGCACCACGGTCTGAGGACACTGTAGGATCTACCCCTTCAGCACCACGGACTGGGGACATTACCGAAGTTGTCCCTTCAGTACCACGGACTGGGAGCACTGGTGGAGCTCTCCCTTTAGCACCACGGTCTGGGGACACTGCCGGAGTTGTCCCTTCGGCACCACCTCCGGGGACACTGTTGGACCTGTTCCTTCAGCACCAGCGCCCGAGGACACTGATAGAGCTGTCCCTTCACTCCCCACGCCCCGAGGGCGAAGAGGCACCTTCCCTTCAGCACCACGGTCCGGGGACACTGCCGGACCCGTCCCTTGGGCAGCAGCGCCCGCCCCGCCCCGCCCGCGGCCGCCCCGCAGCGCCGCTGCCCCGGCACCTGCCGAGAAGCACCGGCCTCTTCCCGTCTACCGAGGGCAGTGGGCTGATGGGCCACGGCCAGCCATAAACGCCTTAGATTAAATTAAAGCTACAGTAGTTGAAATCAGCACAGCAAAGAGGTAATTGCTTCAGACATGTTGCTAGCACGGCAGTATCACGGAGTACAATTAAGTTAGACATAAATTAGTCTGCGACCACATTCATACTGCTCGACTTTGCGGTCCTCTGATTCCTGTCACTGTTTTCTCAGAAGAGAAGTTTTGTGGAGATAGAGGTGCCCATCCAGGTTAGGGAAGGCAAGGTCTTTGTTCATTCAGTTTTAAAAATCAGCCCGTTAGTTAGACACACTTTTGCTGGAGTACCTACTGACTACAGCATGTTCCCCAATGCATACCCCACTGCATGTGCTCCTGAAAGTCTGTCTGGAAGGTTTTAAAGGGAGAAGGACATGTATGTAAGAGCATACACACAGATTTCAAAAAAAGAATCTTCACTAGCGATTAATACGGACATTTAAAATCACTTCCCAGTGCAAGAAACACAGATAAGAACTCTTATTTTCCTGAGAACTTAAACAAATAAAGTATTTTTTCCCCCTCTGTGAGCCAAATTATTTTAGGATAATAAGAAATTAAAGAAAAAATCTCCATGCTCACTTTTATAGACTACCAGTAGATCAGATATCATCAGGAAGCCACTTTAGTACAGAAGAGATGGTACAAAAAATAGCAGTGCATTTGGCAAGATGCAGATAGCAACTATTAATAAACTTTTAAAAGACGGATCAGATATCCTCCAGGAGAAGAGCTTCCCAAATGAACAATTGTTACAGAATGTCTGTCTTTCTACACCGTTCTTTATTGTTACTCTTCCTCCCAGTGGTTCCCTGTTGCTATATACACTTTTAAATTTAAACAATTCTGACATCCCAAAGTGCCTCTGCCTACAGAAATGCACGCTATTCTCTGCATGCTGAGGTGCTCTGAGCTTCCTAAACAAATCCCAGCTCTTTGCAGGAGAAAATGCTAAAGCTTCCCAAGCAAGTTGTACTTGTTTCCAGGTAAAACACGATCAAAACATCGAACTACTGTACAAACAGCCCTTTCCACCTGTCACCAACTGAGCTTACAAATGCAGCAAGTGTTGCAGTCAGTCTTAGGCAGGAGTACAGGGCACCATGAGTACACAGGCGTGTGCATGGAAGCCTTGTTGTAATCCAGAGGGGTATGACAGTCCAGCATTCACTTAGCAGAAATAAGTGACAAGAGACAGGTCAAGGATGAGAGACCCAGCGGTCAAAGGAGGAAAGAGAGTTCTGACATTGTAATGAACAACGGGAAACACAAATCATCAGCCAAAGTTCCATTCTACTTTATATTCTATAACCTATTAATATTTGCTTTTTATATTAATATATCTAATAGCAGAAAGGAAGAGGAAATTATTCCTTAAAAATTCTTATCTTTGTAAGGGCAAATAGGCTTTATACTGTCAGATGATCTTTCAAAGGAAATTTTTTTACTACTCCAGGTATAATACAGTCAAATACAAAAGTAAGTAGGTACTTGTCAAAGGGCAGTGGACATCATGTTCTGCAGAAAACTCAGTATCTTTAGGTGGCAGTGTAAAAATTTCTTGTAACAAACCCTAAATAGTAAAAAGACCAAGTCGTTCTGTATTAATAAGAGCTACTTTCCTGTCCTGTTCTGTAAAATGCACTATTAAACAGCCACTGAGCTAGAAGGGTCTTTTCAGATCTCCCCAGTTGTTAGGGGGCTAGAAGTTCTGGGAGAAGAACATTACAAACAGTCTCAATAAACCCACCTTAAAGAGTACAAAACCAGGGAAGAAAACCTGCTCATCCAGCCAAAGCTGGAGTTGTAACACAGTTCTGTGTGCACACTGCAGCCTCTAGTCTTCGTGGTGTTTATTTTCATGGCAGGGAAGCAAACTTTGTGTGAAATGCTCAGCTTTAGCTGCGGGAAGCAGGGAAGTACAAAATGACAGCCCATGGCTGTGTCCACTGACTGTCCCTTGACTGTCCTGGGAAATGGCACATCTGGGAATCTGGGCATCACGGATGTGACAGCAGGCAACATTTTGCCTTTCACACCATGTGCCCACAAAGGGTTGATGCAGACTATGACCTGTTGACACATCAGACACTCCAGCTGCAATAAAAACTTCAGGAACACATTGGGAATGCCCAGGAAAGGCCCAGCAATAGGACCACAGCTGTGGGAACCGCCACCGCAGCCCTTGCCAACACCAAAACAAAGTTTGCTAAAGCAGGGCTATGCTTGGCTACATCAAGGTCTCTCCCAGCTGATCTAGTTCCCATGTCCTCTTCATTTTCATTCTCATCCAGCTGCCTTTTGCCCAAGTTTTCCCCATGTCTCTTAAGCAAAGGTGCAAGAAGGAGTGCGGCAACAGGGCCTTCTTCCTGAGGGGAACCCCAGCAGAGTGTCACCCTGCCTCTTCCCCCACTCTTCCTCACTGCCCAAGCCAGAGCTCCATGGTAGCCACCTGGCCACTGCCAATTCCCCTTGCCAGAGCAGCCCCACTCCTCCCCAGTGCCACCCAGGAGATGAAGGATCCATCTCCAGGGGAAGAGGTGCGGGACACTGACAAGTCCAACAAGTGCCCAAGAAGAGCAATGAATTACATAATAGAGGAGGGAAGCAAGAAATTCATCCAGCACCGGCACCTTTGCATGTAACAGCCTTCTTGCCCCTCTCCCTTTCTCCCAACCCGGGGAGCATTTGCCCCAGCCCCGGCCGTGGCCCCATAGGGCCTCCCCGAGTGGAGACACTCACCGATGGTCGTGATGACCGTGATGGCAAAGTAGAAGGAGCCGGCGAATTTCCACTGGACTCCGGCTCGGTGCGGCTCGGACTGCATGATCACCAACTCCAGCTGCCGGTAGTCCTCGCTGGTGATGTTGTACTTTCCTTTGAGCCGGATCTCCTCGGCTTTGAGTTTCTCCTCCTCCCGCATCTCGTTGTCGGACTCCAGGGCATCAAAGACGGCAGCCCCGACCAGCAGGTAGGTGAACGTGCAGATGATAAGGGACAGGGTCCGCACGTTCTGCCTCTTCATGGCCGCCAGCAAGGGGCGAGTGAGGGGACCATGTCCCCCCCTGGCCGCCCGGGGATCCGACAGGCCGCAACAGCCACAGCAGGGGAGCAGCCGCCGGGGGGGCTGGCGGCGCCCGCCGCCGCCGCCGCTGCCGCTGCTCCGGGGCAGCTTGTGCTGCGGCGGCGGCCGCTCTCCGCCCGCCTGCTCGGACTCCTGCGAGGAAGAGAGGCACAGGAGGCTGCTGGAGCGCCGGGACCAGGTGCCCTGAAGCCGGGAAACTCTGCGCAGGACCTGCCCAAACCAAGCCGTCCCAGTGCGCAGGGCCATCCAGGGCACCCCCGCTCCTCCCCAGCACCGAGGCCAGGGGCAGGGGGTCCCCGCCGAGGGGCCGGCGGCCCCGGCACGGAGTCCTGCGGCGGGCGGGTCCCCCCGCGAAGTTGTCGCGGCGGCGCGGGGAAGGGTCGCCCGCAGCCCGGGCGGGGCGCGGCGGGGAGGCGGAGGCCGCCGCCGTCCCAAGTTTCTTCAGGCGGAGCGGCGGGGCCGGGGGGGGCCGGGCGGCGGCAGCGCGCCCATCCGCGGAGGAGGAGCGGGGAGAGGGGCGGCGGGCGGCGGGCTCTGACCGTCGGGGACCCGACCCGACCCGGCCCCCGGCTGCCTGCGGGAGCGCCGGCCGGGCGGGTCGGGACGGGCTGGGAGCTCTCTATTCTTTCCGCCGCGGTGCGCGGCGGGCGGCGGGGAGCCGGGCGGCTGCTGCTGCTGCTTTTGCTGCTGCTTCTGCTGCTGCTGCTGCTGCTGCTGCAGGTGGCCGCGGCGTGGGCAGCGGAGCGGCGTCCGGCGCGGCGAGGGCGGCGGCGGCGGCGGTGTCAGGCGGCGGGCGCGGGGCCGGGGGCAGCATCCCCGGGCGCGCCGGGCCGCGCCGCCGCTCCGGCGGGAGGCGGGGGCGCCGGGCCGGCGGCGTGGCCCTGGCGGCGGGAGCCGGCGCCCCGCGGGCGGGAGGAGCGGCGCGGAGCCGCCCCGGCCGGCGGGAGGGCGGGGGAGGCGCCGGCGGCGGCCGCGAAACGAGCACCTGCCCCGGGGCAGCGGCGGGGCGGGACGGCGGCGGAGGGCGCTGGCTCCGGCCGCAGGGCTGCCGGGCGAGAGCGGAGAAACGCCGGCGGCTACCCCCGGGGAGCGCGGGAGGGCAGCTCGGCCCCAGGCGGACACAAAGACGGAGACGAGAATAAAGATTAAAAAAAAAAAAAAAAAAAAAAGAGAGAAAAAAAAAAAGGAGAAAAAGGAAAAGAGGGTAAAAAAGGGATCGGGAAAATAAAAGGGTACTTTCACGGCTGCTCCCCCGGCGCTCTGGGCGGGGGCTGCTTTATTTAGGATGGTTTTTAGAACAAAGCCGTTAAGAAAAAGAGCAACCGTCCTCCTCCTCCTCCTTCTCCCGGGCTCTTGACATCATCTCGGGGAGAAGCGAGCCCGCGCCCCGCAGCCATCGCCTGCGCGCGTGTGTGTGAGAGAGCGTGTGTGTGTGTGTGCGGGCGTGTGCGTGTGTGTGTGTGAGTGTGTGCGTGTGCCCGTGCCCGCTCCGCCGCGAGAGGCGGGATGCGGGATGCGGAGCCCGCCCCGGCCCGCGGCGGGGAGTGCGTTAACCCCCTCGGTGCCGCCCCAGTCGGGAGCGGCCGCGGAGCACCCCTCGCTCCCTCCCGCCTCCCCCGGGCCCGGCCACGCCCCTGTTCCCGCAGGGACAGCCCGGAGCGGGGCGGGCTCGTGCCGTTCCCGCAGGGACAGCCCGGAGCCCCTCCCGCTCTCCAGCCGAGCAGCGGGTAGCGGCCGGGACAGGTTTGTGCCCGCCTCCCCCGTGGCCTCACGCACCGCAGCTCCACGCACCACCGCCCCTCCACAGACTGACACGTACAGCCCCACACACCACCGACAGGCACACACGCAGAGCTTCACACCCTGAGCTTCACACACCATTGCCTTCTTCTCCAGCATTGCACGCCACCGACCACATACACATATGAACAGCTCTACCCACCATGAGCATCACATACCGTGGCCCCCATGCACACACCTGTACAGCCCTACACACACCCGTACAGCCCTACACACACCCGTATAGCCCTACACCTGAGCACTGCACGTCACCGACCACACACACACACACACAGCCCTACACACCCCGAGCATCACACCCCACAATCACACACACTGCAGCCACTCACCGCACCTTATCCTGACACTGCACGCACACAGAGCTCCACACACCTCAGTTCCACTCAGGCAGCCCCTCCACACACACACACGGACCTCCACACACCACAGCCACACACCCCACAACCACACACCACAGCCACACACACACCAACTCGCTCAGATCCTCAGCCAAATGCACCACAGCACCACACACCAAAACATGCCCACACTACAGCCCTCCACGCACCACCTCCACACCACACAGCCGCTTCCCTAGCCTCAGCATAGTCCCACAACCACAGAGATGTGCATAGACACATGGCGCAGGGATGGAACTGGGTGATCTTTAAGGTTCTTTCCAACCCAAACCATTATGTGGTTCTATGATCATGACATACAACACACATACACACAGCAAAATGTTCCCAATGGCTCAGAGGAGACAGCCCAGTCTCACAGAGTCCATCCCCAGCCCCAAAGCTCCTGAGCCACCACCCTGGGATGATGCAATCCCTCAGGGACTCTAGTCCACATCCTATCTCTCCCTTCACCATCAGGTTTCCAGCAGCAGGTGTTAACACAGGAGCTTGGGGCTGCTTTCATGTCCTCTCTGAGACAAGGCTGCCCCTCCTGATGTTGCCTTGCCGTTGGGAACTGTAGGCGTCCTCCTCAGTTAGGGCTGGGATTTTCAGCCTTACTCAGTGAGGGCTGAGCTGGTCCTGACTTCTCTGAGCCTCAGATGATATTCCCTTGTTTTAGGTCTCTCTCAAATCCTAGGCCCCCGGGGCTAATTACTGTAACCTTCCATCCCTAAAAGCAACTCTGTCTCACTCTGGATTAGACCTTGTCTAGCGCCTTTGGATACACCTCCTTAAATATGAGGGGGCAGATGGATCAGATCAGAAGCCAGTCACCAAGAATGAAGCCCTTTGAAAGATGCATCCCAAGATAAGCAGACAAAACTGGTCATAAAGCCCTTTCTGAAACTCCTGATGCAGGGAGGAGGAAGAATTCATTTCATCAATTCAGCAAACGAGTTAACTCAGGTCAAATTCTGCATCACGTCACCTGAGCGTTACTACAATTGTTACAGCACCACATGCAGCAACAAGGTCTCACCTGCCGAAAGAAGCAACAGGGGGAGGGAGGGGAAAGGAGGAGAAAAGAGGAAATATCTGGTTTCGATCAACTCCTTAAAAATAGAAGTCTGATTACCATTGCCCATTTCTGATTCCCCAAGGGAGAGCAGGAGAGGAGGAATCTATAAATAGTTTGCAACACAGAGAATCCTATAGCAAAGTTGCTGGGAAAGATCAATAACATGATTCAAGGAGGGCTCCAAATTACATCTCAGGGGAGGGAGGTGCTGAACAGAATTGATAAATGAGTTGCAAATGCTGTGTGTGTTGTGTGTATCTAATTAACAGAGGGTGACTGGGATCAATAGCAAGGAAGGAGATGGTCTAAAAATAGCACTCAGGAAGGGACTGCAACCTGCGGGCAACAGCTTGGATGGAAATGTCCCCTGGAGTAATTAACCTTTCGCTGGAAAGTGGTGGTTACTGTGGGGTCAAAGTGAGGCCTGTGCACAGCTGGGAAGGGATGAGGTCTCCATGGGACTTAGGGCACAGCGTAGTGTGACAGTCGGGGGGGGGTACAGACACAGCCATGAGCTTGCAACCTTCCTCTGATCAGGTGGCAGTGACAACTTGCTATTTGGTGTAGTGCTTTCTGGAGAAATATTTGAATATTAACATTTTGTTGGGGTTGAGGAATAGGAAATATTTGCCATTCTATGTACTCATAAAGGTTTTGACATTGCTTAGAGAAAAGTAACAGTTATTTTTTTAAACATCTATTTACATTCATAAGAGTCTGGGATTTTCTTCTTTTTTTGCTGACCCCATTGCCAAGAAAGTATCCACTACTCTGAGGATTTACTTGGAGGATTCTGAGCCTTTACTCATCCAGACCCACCAGCCAATATATATTTGAACCACAGAGCAACTAACTTCCAAAGAGAAGTGCCCTTCCATCCTTCAATCTACAACAGAGATGTCAGGCAAACACCAGGGAGAAGGACTGACGTTGGGCAGGATGATCTATGGCTCAGCTCACAGGCTCTACTGAAGTGCCAGGCTGAGCTGGCATCACCCGAGTGAGAGGCAGAGACACACACACATCCAGGAACAGAAAGTTCACTTTCAGCCTGAGTATAGGATTTGGACCTGGGGTGTATGGCATGACTGAAAGAAAAGGAAACTGTAAAGATGAAGAATCTAGAAAATTTCTCTTTGTAAAGCTGGCAGGAAAGCATTGAAGGAGTAAGTAGTGAGTGAAGAGCTTTTCTCTCTTTAATATACGTAGAAGTGACTAAAAATTCCTGGACAAAAGGTTTCTCCATAAGATTAAATAAAAGTCTTTTATCCAGTTATAGATGAAGCTACCAACAAACCATGGTTAGTCACCTAAACAAAAGTAAACTCAAAGTACCAACACATAACTTAGCTCCTCTAGGTTTGGTCTGGCTTGAGGGAGAGAGCACAGGCTGGAAGATAGGTGTGCAGTGGGTGCCCTGGCTGCTGACAGCTGTGCTAATCCAGTTTTGCACCTACTCTCTCCACAAAAAGCCAGTGGGAATTTGAAATCTTCCACATTCAAGGTAAGATTGTGTGGGTGCTCTTATGTCACAGCAGCTCTCCTGTCTCACCTTGAGTTCACTCTGCAATGAAGGCAAGAGCTAAGAGCAAGGCAGCTGCACTCTGAGTTGCTTCTGTGGACCTCTGCAGTCCCTCCTGTGGACCTGTCAGTGATTCTCCTTGAGCAATCTAATGTCTCTCTCTGTGCAAGAAGGGGCTGAGAGCTGCCAATCCATGAGCCATCTTCCATGTGAACCACAAGAGTCACAACAAACCAGAAAAGGAAAAAAAAAAACCCAAACCAGAAAAATAACTGAAAAATATGATCAAAATTAGAAAGAAGAAGAGATAACCTGTTTATTCTTCTACATAGATTATCAATGAACCATTTTATTTCTCTGGAAATGGTGGCACAAAGATGACCAGAACAGCAGTTCTGCTTCAGGACAAGGTTTATTGACCCCTGAAGTCCTTTATGGTACAGCAGAGGCTGTACCAGGCACAAGG